AAATGTTTATAATTTAAAATTTAACTTTTTGATTATAATAAATTACAAAGTAATTATACAAACAATTTTATTAGAATTTAAAAAGAATGTATATTAAATAAAATTAAAGATGTTTTAAAAAAAAAATAGATAAAAAAAATTTTTTTTTAAATATTTTATTTCATTTAATTTGATTGGTTAACCTGAATTTTATCAGATCAGATCATAAGCTTGACCCGACCTGATGTTGATCTGATAATTTGTTTACCTGACTTAGATTTTTCAGGTTGGGTCAGGTCGGGTTACAGGTTGACTTAACCTGATTCAGAGTTCTAATAAAAATGATTTAGAACTGACAAATTAATAAAACTATTCTAGCTTTCTACTAGTATCTTACTAGTTTCTTATCTGCTACTATGATGCTGAGTTGGATTTTCAAATCATATACTTTAAAAATTAGCTAAAATTATGGTATAGAGCTGGTTAAATTAATCACGAATTTATTATATCATATGATATGTTTTTTTATTATTATTTAGAATTTTAATAAGCAATCAAGCAGGCGTAAAGGGTAAGCATCTCAATATAAAATCTGGCATTCAATCAGGTATAGAAAGCTAACACTCTTGACATAAAACTAAGTATTCAAACTATTATAGAAGATCAATAACCCCTAATATAAAATTTGATATGTAAACAACCAAGAAATAAGAAGAATGATGTAGTATTTATATCATATGTGTATGTGATAATTAGATTATATTATGGTAATAAACTATATTAATATAAAAAACATATATAGCAGAAAAGACCTAAAGATATAGCTAAAATGAAAAAAAAGATACATGATATAAGAAAGTGAATAGATTATATGTAATATTTAGATTATAGGTTATAGATTATATGTGATACTCAGATTATATGTTTAGATTATATATGATATTCAAATCATATATAATATTTAGATTATATGTATTATTTAGATCATATGAGTTATTCAAATTACATGTGGTATTATAATTTAGGACAAGTGTAATATCATATAGAATATAATAATTATATTCTATGTGATATTCTACTATGGTTATATATGAAGCATTGTTAATATACATTTTTGTTATTATGATCAGTTTTCGTAGATTTTTTAAGCGTATTAATAATACTATAATAAAACAAATTCTTACAATAATTTTTACTTATTTTAATATATCTTTTAACTTATTCTATATATTTCTTTCAGATTCTACCGTATACATATATAAAAAATGCTATTGTAATATTTTATTACTATTAATATTTTAATTAATTTATATATTATGTTATATACATATTTTAAATCTTATTAGATATGTTTTTTTTTAATTTTTAAATTTGTTTTAATTTAATTATTAATATTTATAAGATAGAATAAAAAAAAATAAAAAATTTTTAGTTAAAAGTAGAAATGTAATAAAATAATGAAAAAAAGTAATTTTATATATTTTATATATTAATTTTATTAAAGTTAATATGTTTATTTAGCTTATAATTTAAGGAATGGTAGAATTATAAGAATAATAAATGATACTATAATTAGAAAATGATAATAACATTTGTAAAAAAAAAAGTTAAAAGTTAAAAAAATAATAGGGATATAGAGAATATTATCTCAATTTCATATTTTGAAAGGCTTTTTAGATAAAGTCAAAGAAGTTTATGTTAATTTTCCTACTAAAAGAATTAATACCTAACCCATTTAAAAATACATGAAATTTTTTCGCTATGTAAAATTCTATTATACAATAAAACATAATGAAATTCTTAGTTTCAGATAGTATCTTATATAAAAAATGTATCAGTTACTAATTAATTTTTTTTAAAGAAAAATTTGATAATAAATAATACATTATATTTTAAAAGCCATTAATTTTTGTTTACAAAATATACAAAAATTAGGACTTATTACAATTTGTGTTAATTTTATTTCTTCTTATACTAAAGAATTTATCTAAAACCTTGATTTTTTCAGCAATTAAAAAAAAACACATTTTTCCTTTTGCTGAATTATAACTTCAACAATTTATTGCATACATCAAAAAATATAAAAAATCAAATAAATTTGATCCAATTTTGAAAAATTTAATTATTCAACTTCAATTTAATACAAATGAACTTTATGTGATTTTTTAAATCACATTTGAAATAGTATATAAAAAATTTGCTACACATATTTTTAATAATTCAGCATGTTAATATTTTTATGCATGCCAAATTTTTGATTACAAATTTATTCATAATAGAAATGTTTTGCGAAAAATATTTGATAATATAATGCAATTAAAAAATTTGACAATCTATCTGATGAATTATTATTGGAATGTGAAATTTATTGTGATTTAAATAATGAATTTTTAAGTGATATAGAATTAGATCAATATTAGGTAAAGAAGACAATATAGTTTCCAATCCTTTCTAATATTATTTTTGGCTACTGATATCAAATTATATTGTTAAATAAAGTTTTTCAATGTATAATTCTCTTTTAGATAGTGATTCCAAAATCTCTCTTGGGATTCTCTTAAAAAATTAAGTATGATATATAATAAAATTATGACTTAAAAATTTTTACAATAATAAATAATTTAGAATAATATCAAATAATATAAATTTATTATAAATAAAATCAAATAATTACCGTAAAATCTTGAAATTAAGCACCCCTTTTTGCAGTCATGTGATCGACAAAAATGGTGAAGATGCATGTTGAAATTGTTTGAAAATTAATAATGTCTATATAAAATAAATAAAAAATAATCAATAAATTTGTTTATTATAAAACCGTTTTAACTATTATTTTATAAAGGAGTGCTTATTTTCGAAGGTGCTTACTTTTAGTTTTTACAAACACTATGACAAAAGTAGTAGGGGTCAGAAGGTGCTTAATTTCAAGATTTTACGTATGAATTTTTTTTAAAAAAATTACGTCACATGATTTTTGTTTTAGCATATAATTCATGTCATGTTTAATCAGCATAATTTCATCGTCCCTGTATCATATCACCAATGATAAACAATATTCGAGATCACATGGAAGGTCATAAAACTTCCAAGTACACTAAGCCAAAATTGTAACAAACATAAAGCCTGATTTGTAAATGAATGGTTTTACAATAAGCCATAAATAAATATGATCATATTTTACCCCATAATATATATATATATATAGTATTATTTAAAAATTCGAATAATCGAATGCATGGCCGAAGTTATAACCCCTTAACCCTTAAAATAAAAGAAAGTTTAACCGTTTCACAATCAAAAGAATTTGATTCGAAATATCAAACATATACATAAACAATGTAATACATGAAGAATAAACCTAACATTGTTTGAGGATCATGAATTTTACTTCATTTGTAAAAAAGTATGCAGTGTGTAATTTTTTCCGGTCCATTTAAAAGTTACATATTATTTAAATTATATTAAATTTACAGAATCGGGTAACAAAAATTATAATATAAAGATCATGCTAAGCCGGACAATTGCCAAAAGCCTCAATTAGGATGTCAATTGTAAATTCATTATAAAACGCGTATCATGGGATGTAAATATATATATGTAGAGCTTTTCTTTTTGTAAAAAAAAAAAAATTCGAACTTCATTCCTTTTTACCTTATTATAACAAAATTTGATTTTTATTATATTATATTTTATATATATTATTATTTTAAGAAATTAAAAGAATCTATATTTTACTATGTCTGAAAATAATGGATATTCATATAATAATAATCGCGGACCACCGTATCCTCCTCAATTAGAACAAGGTTACCCTCAAGAGCAATATTATCCACCACATCAGCAATATCCACATCAACAACAATATCCACAACAACCACCAAGACAACCTTCACCACAACAATACTCTCGTCAACCCACACCTCCAAGACAGCTTACGCCGCCCCAACAACTTTCCACCTCTAGACAACCCTCACCATCAAGGCAGGAGGCATTTCCAGCTAATCATCCTTATCGAGACGATGAAAATAACAGATCGAATGAAAGTCTGAGTCATGTTCAAAAAGATGGATGGGTATTTAGACCACCCGAAAATGGTCATGTTATAACTAAAGGTGAAATGATTAGTAGAATTGTGCAATATTATGAAGTAAGTTGTTGAAAGATTTATCTTTGAATTCTTTTTAGTTTCAAAAACTATGTTGAATCTCTTCCCCTAACCTCCTGTTTTAAAAATAAAAATAAAAAAGATGTTTGTGGTGAATGTATTTTTGCTAGGATATAATGTGCTGAAATATGCGAAACTTGGAGTGGATGATAGTACAGTAAAAAATTTTCTAATGGATGCATGCGGAGACAGATTTCACATTGAACAATTTGATTATTGTTCAGCATCAAGATTATTTTGGGGTTTAATAGGTGGAGCCATAATATATTTTATATTTACGTCGATTGTAGCATTTGCACTTTCAATTGAATTAAGACGTAGAGGATACGATTCTTCATTCACAGCTTTGTGGCATTCCCCAGCATTTTTACTATGCTTTTTTTATGACGAAGAAAAAAGAGTAGATATTTTGAGTATACCTAATAAATATGTTGGGTTAAGTTTATGGACCAGAAGTCAAATACATCGGATTAGTTTAGCTATTTATTGTGCTATTAGTTCTGTCTTGATTTTGGTTTCTTTAAAAAAAGGGTAAGTACGAAATGACTGTTTTTATTTTATTTTAAAAAAATGACGTATAACGATATATTTATAAAAAAAAATTTTTTTTTTTTTTTATGTAGAACCGCCGAAACTGCCAAAATTGAAGGGGAAGGTTTAAACAGAGGATTACAGAAATGTATGTAAATAATTTTTTTTTTTTAAAAAAAAGGAAAAGTTTTTTTTTTATATTAACGATATTAATATTTATAGATTATAATCCATATTTAATCCCTTATTATCTGGCATTATACATTTTTTCAAAAACACTTGCAAATATGTTACTCACAATTATTCAAGATAAAGACATTAGAAACAGACCTGAACGTATAGGTCGATATTATGTTGCAATCAAAGAAGATCAATAAAAGAACAATTACATTTTTCTTTTTTTTTTTATAAAAACAAAGCAGCAGCATGTTGTTAACTTGTATATACAGTAATTACAAAAAATAGATTAACTTAAATCTAATAAAAAAATTTTAATATTATAAATATGACAAAAAATATGGATGCATTATTTGCAAATGCAAATGGGTGTTTTTGTTTTTGAAAAGATCAAAACAAAACATCGAATTTTTGAGTCATACCCTTTAATACCTATAAGGCTAAACTACATATGTGAAAATGTTTATCTCCTAGTTTTTTAAAAAAGAGACCACATGCATTGTATGAAATTTCATTGAACATTTGGGTCATGGACTAGCAAAATATATCTCCGAGACCCCCCTGTCAAAAATTTTTTTTTTGCTCCAATATAAACT